AAACTGAACTTCCTGGTACATTATTGCGCTGAGGTTTGGCTCTGGAATGCCTCACTGATAAATACCTTTACCATGCATCTAAGGGTTAAGGGTGAGAAAAGATGTTCTTTTTTTTTTTTTCTTTTCATACATTAATAATATCTGAAGTAGGGGCAGGGAAGGTTGGTAGGGAGGTGCTTGAACAATAGCTCCGCAATGGTTGTGTAATAACTACATCCCGAATACACCATGGGGGAAATGAAGTTATGTCATGCGCAGCGATCTAGATATATAGTTCCTGGAAATAGTGGAATATAATAAGCATGAAAGTATGTACTCCTACAAGATATTTGTGGGATAATTTTGTCGTAATTTATCTTGCTTCAGATAAACAAGTAGAAGTCATAGTGAATATGTTTTGAATTGTAATGTATCCTTTGGCATCCATGAATTAGAGCTACTGCCCGGGCTCCAAAACCAAACGAAAACCGAATTCCATTTGAGTTGTTCCTGAGCAAGATCAAGTTATTGAGTTGGTAGTTATTAAACTGCTAATTCTCTGAGAGGGCTCAAGAATTTTAAAAAGCCACTAAAGGGTTTTGGAAAAAAGGGTCCCGAGGCACTACCAAAAGGGCAAGTCTTGACCCTTGGAGGAGGGCTATTACCATGGACGTTGGGGGGAGGGGGAGGGGTTGATTCCTTTTGGAGGGTGAAACTCTAACACGCAAGCCTACTTCTTTGATTTTTCCCACCCTTCCTCTACTTGCTTTTCCCTGGATTAGAGTCTGAGGTGAGGAGAAGTGACATCACATCCATCCATCCTATCCATCCTGGAGGGATACTGCGCGGGGACTAGAGGTCGAGGCTGGAAGGTGATAGACAGGTGGGGTCACTTTCTTCATATATATCCCAAGGAAGTCACCCGCAGGCTTTACACTTTCCTTCCAACCAAAAGCCTTTTGGGAGCCGGCTTGTCACTGCAGGATTCAAATGTCCACAGAAGGGGGTCAACCATGCCATCTAAATCCACTTCAAACAGGTCAAAGACGAGCTAAAGCTTCCTGAAACCTACAGGTTATTAGTCACCTGTTAGTGTCCCATTACACACATATTTTGCAATAAAGGCAAGCCCTGAATTAACTCTTGTGCTGGCTCCTATGCATCACGGATGATATTTTTAACTGGTGGTGGTTAAATATCTAAGAAATCAGAGATGGTAAGTCCAGTTTCCACTCTACTGGAATTCATCGTATTAACCCGGGCGTGCCAGTCAAATCAATGTCCATCCCAGGTTCGCGGCACACTATCACCTTTGGTCCTTGCGGCCATCCCTCTGTTTTATTTATAGTATTCATGCATTGTGAACTTAATTTCCCGTGATAGGATGATTGTCTTCTAATTTAGTTTTCTACCGGCCTCAGTTTTCTTCTTTATGAAATAAAGAAGTTAGATTCTCTGATAGCCAAGATCTCTTTCAACCCTGATGCTTTACCAATGAGATTAAGGCCTGAAATGCGTTTGGCTCAGTGCCTGGCATATTACTAGTCCTTAATAAATGGTAGTTATTGCTACCATTCATTATCATCATTACGCTTGACAGATTTTCCCTGCCGATTCTGAATCCGATATGCTGGAAAAGTGATTAGAATCTCCACAAATTTGGTGACTCTTCTACTGGGCAGTGAAATTCCTAGTGGCATGTCTTTCCTTCTTGGTCAGCTCCAAACTGTCCATTGCCAATTTGTTATTGATTCACAGAATCTCAGGTTAGAAGAGCCATTAACGGTCAATTTTCAGCGAAGGAGGTAGCAGAGGGAGAAATGAGGTGTCTCCTAAGGCAAACTCTTCCCAGAATAATTCTCGTTTGCAGAGTTTCAAGATGAATCCTTTTCAGAGTTCTTTTTCACCTCTCCTACTAAACTGCCTGGATTTCTATTCACTGCCTTTCACTGAAATTTTCTTTTAAAGCTGTGAGGGACCTTGGCAGAAAGGCCAAAGACTAGTGGGGCCTCATTATCAAGTAATATGTTGCTTAAGTATCAGGCAGAGTAAAACTTAAAACTGCCCGATTTCCTGCCATATGGCATGTTCTAGAGGAAGAGTCAAGGGTCAAATTTGCAGGGCTACTCTTTGCATACAAAAAGGAAGTATTTGTGCAAGTCTTGGACTGAGCTCCTTTTCCAGTGTTAGTGAAGGCTTTGCCCTAGCCACTGCAATTCTATCAGTTTCTTGTTCCTTTGGCTTCGGAGGCATTGACAGGAGCTGACTGTGGGAACCAACAGGGCTCACTTAAGGTCGTGAAAGAAGATGTTTTTTTGCTGCAGCCACTGGTCTTTATCTGGAAGCTTCATGGTGGCCAACTGGCTCTAATCAAGGAGGCTAATGAGTCCATGAAGGCAGATCCCAAAGCCGGAAGCAGGATGTGCCTTTGCATCAAGGGTAGAGGACGTTCCTCCTGTATCAGTGACGTTCAAGAGTCACGCTCCTGATAAGTGAACTGGAAGGAACCGCAAATGTGACGGACAAGATGAATGCATCCACATTCGTGTGTTGAATTTGACAGATGGATGGAGTCCCAGATCTTTTTCATTTTTTTTTTTTAACAGAGCTAGGGTTTTCCCTTCTAAACACATATGCATCCAAACGAAAGAATGTACTCTTTGAGGAAGCTAAAAATGCTGGCCCAGGGATTGGGTTACACAGCAGAAAAGTGGTTTGCCCGTTTCCTACCTCATTTTCCAATTCTCTCTCTTGTTCACCGCAGTGAATGCTGTGTGCCTGTGTCAAGCGGGGCATGCTCGTGGAAGACAAGAGTGTTAGTTGGAAAGAAAACGGGAAAGACACCGTGGAGGAAACATGTCGAGGGGGTAGTGTCACCACTCTTAGGAAACCACCTTCAGGCTCAGAAGACCAGGTACAGTGATGTCCCTTCATTTCATTCACAAGTTGAAGCCCAGAGGCAAGGTGGCTTTCAAAGAGAAGCATTTTGTGCTGTCTTTGCAGTCCTAAACAACAATGGCCCCAGAATCCCAGAGAAAACCACAGGCCATGCTTCCGACCTGACTCATAAAGTACCTTGTGCAGCCCTCACAGTAGCCACCCTCCCGCGGATCATCCCCAGACAGGCTCTCCCTACCGTCTGACAGCTAATGCCCCCAGTTCTGAGGGGAGGAAAGACCCTTCAGATGTATATTGAGATTTGGATTTTGACGGACCTCTTCCCCTCCCATCTGAAACCCATCAGCTTCTGGAAGAATAAGCCAACGTCCTGTGGATAGAAGCAGGTGGCCCGTGTGGCAGTTAACGGTCATCTAATAGATTGTAAGATTTCTGGACTGTGCACTGGGGACGGAGGAAGTGATGGGAGCAAAGGGACTGGTCAGTAACAAGACTGTACTGAAACTCTAAAGCCCACGCCTAGTGCTTATGCTTTTCCACCAGCAAAGGGCAACAATAATAAACCACATTTATTCTGGAGTTATTCAGAATCTGAATTTCACCAATCCTCTGCGCCCCATTTCCTCACCCTCCTCCCCTTCAGTATCTAGCACAATGCCTGGCAAGTTCTAGGTGCTCCAGAGATGCGCCAAATCAGTCAAGTAAATAGAATAAAATGTACGTCCTTCTGCAGATGATTTAGTTCTGCTGACCTTCCACTTCTTCATCAGTGGGGGAGGGGATCATGTTATTTGGTAAGTTTGTTTTCAAGAGTAAATAACACAGCGTGCCTTATACAATGTGCCCAAAGCCGTGAAGTGACGCTGTTATGAGTTCTGAGTGTAACTTTATGAATTTTACAAACTTCAATAAATGTGTGCATCTTGAGTTTGCAGATATGGTTCAGCTGAGGGGAGAAGGGAGAAAAGTGAAGCCCTAGGCGGATAAAATAATCATTATCCAAAGCGAGAGACGTGATGGGTTAATTAACCTCAAGTCCATTTAACCAATGTTTAAGAAGAAAGATAATGGGGGGCGGGAAAGGAGAGAGAAGAGGGACAGGTGGGAGGTAGGGGGGAAAGGAACTACTTTTCAGGCCAGTTGAGCGTTTCCATAAACGATATATTTTCTTTTCACAAGAAGTCGTCCTGTGCCGCCAAAAGAGGCAGGAAGGTTGTTCAGCAGAAACGGGGTTAATCCAAGCTCACTCCTGCCCGCTGCAGTCACGGCGCTGGAGACAGTAATGAAGCCGGCTCAGGCACATATTTCACCCGAACTTCCTCTGTGGTCCTTTTTATATTGAAGTCTCTCCCTGTTACAAGGCCGCGCTTGAAAAAGTTGGAAAACTTTTCCCTTGGTGGAGAGGAAAGCGGCGCTCATCAGACCCAATGGAACGAATGAATGAAGTTATTCCCTTGGCCCGAACGTCTTCATCCACTTTCCTACCAAACACTCCTAGGAACATCTCTCCCCAGCCCCGCGACTGGAATTTTACTCTCCCGTGGCGTTGCCTCCTCTCAGATGCACAGATTTCGAAAGTCAGCCCCTTGAGCCGCAGCGGTTGGCTTTTTGCAGGAGTCGATGCGCCCTGCGGTCCTGCGTGGTGGCTTCTCCCGGCAGCAGCGGTGTGTAAAATAAACCGTTGCCGAAAAGCATGAAGAATTAACGAAGTGAAAATCTCGGGTTATTTGTTCGGCAGTTGACACGCAAGTGACCTTCCTCCTAAATGAGCGAGTGAGTCGTTTAAGGAGGTTCAGAGCGGGGATGAATGAATCTACGAGGCTCTGGACTCTCACCACCGTGTCCATCTCGATCTCTTCCGTCCTCCGGGAGGGGGGCGGTGAACGGACTCAAATCCGAGGAGGAAAGGGAGAGAAGGGGGTCAGGCCGCGACGCCGGGAGCTCTCCTCCCAGCCCTTTGGAAAGACTGGCTTTCGCTGCCCTGGACCCTGAGAGGTTACAGCCCGGAGAACCGGGCGGCGCTAGGACCTGGTTGGCGCCTGGCCGCGGCCGCTCTCCGGCGGGCGGAGGAGCGAGAGGAGGAGGGGGCTGTGGGAGAGGAGGGGTGTTAGGGGGGCGGCGGGAGTCATTTATGCAGAGCAGGCGCTGCTGCCATTGCCACTCGCACTCCCCGCGCGCCGCTCGGAGCCGGAGGGAGCGCAGGGAGCGAGCTAGCGAGCGCTCGGAGCCCGGGCCAGCAGAGGGGGCGCCCGGCCGCTGCCTGCACCGCCGCCTCCGCCGCGTTCCGGGGCCCGGGGAGGAGCGAAGGCTAGTCGGAGAGTCGGGAGCCGAGCCGGCGAGACCCAACTGCAGGAGGGCGCCCGCCCCGCTCAGCCGCCTCCTGCGCCGGAGCCGGGGAGCCCCCGCCGATCGCCCCGCGGGCCGGAGGGCACGGCGCGCAGGTCCCCGCAGCCCCAGGGATGGTCTAGGAGCCGGCGCCAGGCTCGCCGTTTGCTCCCCGCCGGGGCTCGCCGCCTCCTGCGGATCGCCCAGGGCTGCGCGCCGCGGCGGCCGGGGGCTGCGCGCCGGGGCGGCCCAGGCCGGAGAAGTTAGTTGTGCGCGCCGCTCGTGCGCGGAGTCAGCGAGCGAGCGAGGGAGGCAGCGAGGCGCCGGGGCCATGGGCTGGGGGAGCCGCTGCTGCTGCCCGGGACGCCTGGACCTGCTGTGCGTGCTGGCGCTGCTCGGGGGCTGCCTGCTCCCCGTGTGCCGGACGCGCGTCTACACCAACCACTGGGCAGTCAAAATCGCCGGCGGCTTCCCGGAGGCCAACCGCATCGCCAGCAAGTACGGATTCATCAACATGGGACAGGTAACGACGGGCTGGCCCAGTCCTTGGCCCTGAAGCTGCCGGGGCCGGGGGAGCCCCCAGCGACCCCGCGCTTCTTGCCCCCTCCTTGTCACCCCCTCCCCCCTCTTCCAGATGTGCTCTTGCAGCTGTTGCCCTAACTCTTGAGCGATTTTCTCTCTCTCTTTCATACGCACACACACACTCTCTCTCCCCAAAGTTACCGGGGTTGGTTTTGTTTACTTGTGGGTTTTGTTTTGTTCCTTCTTCTTCTTCTCCTTCTTCTTCTGGCCACGAGGGACAGGTAGGGTGTCCAGAGTGTGCATACCCCCGTGGTGGTTTCAGACCCGACCGGGTCTTTTGACATGGAAAGTCAGGGAGCACTGGTAGATTGAGCTCTTTTGGGGGGTGAGGGGAGTGAGCACACTCCTTGCGGTTTCTGAGAGCCAGGGCAAGAAGGAGGCGAGGAAGGGAGAGCCTTTCCTGCTCAGACCTGAATTTAGCCCAGAAAGTAGTTTGCCCCTTGGGTGGGGGGGAGAGGACCGCTGGGCGCTGGAGGAGCAGGAGGCGCGGGGACTGGAGCTGGAAGGGAGGAGGAAGAGGGAGGCGGAGGAAGGGAAGAGAGGGCCGGACCCGGCGTGAGCGCAGATCTGGGGAGAGACCTCTCGCTCTCCTCGCCTCTCTCGTGGGATCCGCGTGGGGGCTCCCGGAGCGGGGTCGGAAAAGGGGGTGGGAAACTTCCGACACCCGCCGGCGGGGTTCTGCTCTGGGAGAACTGCAGGTCTCCCCGCGGAGAGGGACGTGCGGCGGCGACGTGGGGCGAAGAGTTGGACAGGCAGACGGGCGCGGGGTTCTTACGGGGTGCCTCTCCCGGGCTGAGGGCAGAGCTGCCCGGCTGGGGAACAATGAATTGAATGGTGTTATGCGGCTGATTGGAAGCGCAACAGATTTGGAGGCACTTCCGAGCTGACCGGTCTTGGCTTCCTCGCTCTCATTCCTGCTAGAAATGGAGTGGCGAGGGCAGTGTACGCGGGTTCCAGAAAGTGACCCGATCATTCTCCGCCCCCCCCCCCGCCCGCCCCGCCCCAGTACTCACACCCCATTCACTCACTTCTCTAGGCCTGGCTGGAGAAGGGGGCTCTGGCCAGAGACCCTGCTGGGGGTGGGAGGCGAGGGTGATGGGCCACCTTTGCTGTAGACCGGCTTTTGGGACTGCTCCGGATGCACGTGTCCTGCCAGCGCGAGGGGAAAGGAGGCTGGCAGGAGGCTGGCGCAGCGGGGCCAAGAGAACAGCACAGACGGTTTCTGATGTTGTGCTGCTCGTCCGGGAACGGGAGCCCTGGGGCGCAGGGACCCTCAGCTGCCTGGGCGATGCGGCACTGACTGAAGAGGCAGCTCTGCGATCACCGCATCTGGAAGGAGATAGGGAGCGCTGGGTGGGGGGGGGCGGGGGGGGGTCAGGGGAGCAGGAGCGTGAGGTCTTGGGCTCTGTGGGTACAGAGGGAAGACGCGTTCCGGGGAAGTCAGTCCTGTGGAGGACTGAAACCAGGGCAAGGGGCAAGGTCTGAGTCTCCCCCCACCACGCCCCCCTGCGCATACTCGCGCGCGCGCGCCCCCGTCCCCCACCCCCCTACCCCAACACCACCGTACGTATCCAACACCGCCCCCCCTCCGCCCTCCGGAAGGAAGGAAGGGAAGAAGCCAGCCAGACTTTGTTCCCCAGCGCCTGTCATCTTCAGGAGAATTCCATTCTAATGGCTTGTTAGGATTCTACTAGCTTCTTGTTTCATTGGAAGAACACAGTCTCCTCTTTTTTCCATGAGCTTCAAGTTGGGTGCTGCATGTGACCCTGGAATGTAACTGGGAACGCTTGTCAATGAAAGTAGCCTTGTTACCTACCATTCTTTCCAGAAATGCGTCTCTCAGGTTCGCTAACATGGAGCATCTCCTACATAGGATACCTACTTAGGAAATAAGGTCTTGAATATAGATTTCTTTGGTAATCTGCAAAACGGTCATTTTGGGTGGATACGCCTCCACATTCAGCAAATTGGAAAACCAGGACTCTGGAGAAGTTGATGCGCACAGGATCCCCGAGCTAGACGGTGGCAAAACTGTGATTCAGACCTAGGACTGTCTGGCCCAGGCCTACCCTGCATGAATTCGCCTGGTAGGGTATCCCTCCCCATAGGAGGAACAAAGTAACACCCCCAATCCCCTGAATTCTGATTTAGTGGCTCAGTAGACTGGAAGCAAACCTTTAGTATTAACTCACAGATACTTAGTTCAAACAGACCTGGACTTCTTGACTCTGAGAAGCTTCAGGACTTGGAAGAAATACCTGTTTCTTTTCTTTTTATGTTTATTTTAAAAAATATATATTTTTTTAATTTTTACTTTTGAGAGGGAGAGGGAGAGAGCAATGAGTGGGGGAGGGGCAGAGGGAGAGGAAGACACAGAATCCAAAGTAGGTTCCGGGCTCTGAGCTGTCAGCCCAAAGCCCGCCACCGGGCTCGAACCCACGAACTATGAGATTGTGACCTGAGCTGAAATCGGACGCTTAACCCACTGAGCCACCCAGGTGCCCCAGAAATACCTGTTTCTTAATGAACTCATTAAACAGAACTTAGATATTGCATAGCCTGGCAGAGGAAGGGAGGGGATTTTTGTCACCGAAAGAACCCCCTTTGAACAAGCATTGCTGTGTCCTGTAACTTCACAGGATTGTGTTTACAGAGGGCTTTCGAAGGGAGATCTGTGGCTTTTCATTTGTAAAATACGCAGAAAACTACAAACACGCATGACACCCAACACAATTTATTGTGGTTTTTACAATGCCTGTGAAGACATTAAGTGCTTTCAAAGGTTACAGGGGACCCCTTGAACTGATGCCATAACCAGTGGAAAAAGGTCAGCTGGTCTCGCTGTGTAAAGGGTTCCCTCTGTAGATCAAAGGGGGGTAACCCTATGCTAAGTGTTGGGGGCGCTAAATTGAGTTACACAGACAATATCATTGCACTGTAAGGGCCAAATGTATTTCTTATTCACCCTTTACTGCTCTGACCTTTTAACACTTTAGCCATCCTTTTGTTATTCTTTCTTTCCCTAAATAAACCAGTTGTGGTTCCACTGAGCAGTAACTAATTTGCAAATGTCTCTGGAATGTTCTCATGTTTTTTACCCCAGTTGGGTTCGGGGTCCCACCTCATGGGTCACAAATTGGAACCCAGGCCTATTATTGTTTCTGAAGTCATGTAATATCTCGGTGGTCTTTCTGACATCTTTGGGATGATATTTTAGGCAGATATTTTAGGTGGTGAATCTTCACCACCGGCGAGGTGCAATCGTGACTACTCGCAACTTCAGCGTAATGTTTTATACCGCATCTTAGCACTGGGAAGTCACCCGAGGTAAAATTTCCGGCCTGGGGATTTCTGCGGAAGGGAATAGGTGTGCCTCTTGTGCTCATGAAAAATAGGATGTGCAGAGTTAATGCAAGAGCAAGCAAGCAAACAGGCATCGAGGACACGCTTGGCTTCCTGGAAGGGAAGAATAATGAGGCTTTTCTTGCTTTTGGTTATAGAGAGAGCATTATGTTTCGGTAGGTTTTCCACCTCATGTTAGTGTTTGTGAATGGTCATGCCTTGAAAATCTGCAGTGATGCCTTAATTAGCAGGAGCAGATGTTGTCATGTTGGCGTATGTCCTGTTTTGCTTGGTATTCGTGTCGCCGTAGAATGCCCTGTCTTCCCCCTGAAAGCCTCTCCCAGGATCAGGTGTCCCCTGACTGTTGGCCTCACACCTGTGGCAAGGAGGCCTTGGTCCTGCCTCTGAATTGGGCGACGTGACCGATGGAGCTAACAGTGTAGTTAGTGGTGAGAGGGTAGCAGTGACAGCAAGGAATCAAGACGCGGCATCACGTTAATCGTGAACCTTTGTTTGGACTAACCCTGCAAACCAGGGAGATTAATTTCTGGTCATCTGAACTCAGGGAGAAGGTCCCCGGTGAAGGCTGTTGGCAGCGTGCGAGAGCTGTATTTATCCTTCTGCGAATTGCATATAATCCTTGATCCCAAGCCGAGATTACCAGTGACAGAAAGCGCTCCTCAAACCATGTCACTTATCTCGAGCCCGATTCCGGAAGGATAAAGCCAGATGCAAGCAATACCGGGGAAATATTCTACCTGGAGTTCTCACTGAAAGCAGTATATATATATATATATATATGTGTGTGTGTGTGTGTGTGTGTGTGTGTGTGTGTGTGTGTGTGTGTGTCTCGGAAACTCCAGATGTCACTTACAAGGTCTTTGAAAGCTGGAAAGTCGGTGAACTTAATGGAGCCCCTGTTCCTTCATCTGTAAAATGATAAATCTCTAGATAATAGGCTGAGTTGACTGTGCATTGCTCAGCACATAGTTAGGCTTGCAGCGAAAGGTTGGTTGGGTCTGACTCTGAAATAAGTGAGATTCAAACTTTTATTTGGATAGGGAGAAAGGAAGACATTTTGTAAATGGGAGATACAAGATGTGAAGATCAGGAAAATACATTTTTAACGGCCGAGTAAAAAAGAGCTAAATCCGAGCTTTGTAGACAGGGAAAATGGTTTTCCATTTCAACGAACCATGTAAAACACCTTAAAAATAGTTGCTGTTGGGCTCTAAACAATTCTGGCTGATTTCCCGTGGCAATGCCTTCCTCCCTGGTCGATCCTGGTTGTAGCCCATTAAATATTATAGGATAAGCCTGCCGGAGAGATGGAAGACGGGGAGGGAAACTATCTGAAGACCGGTTATTTTGTAAAGCCTCTTACCTTGGTACATTATGTTGGATCGCATCTGAATTCGTGTTTTAATTCTGAATGCAGTTTGCGCGAAGAGAGTTAGAAGCCGCGTTTCCCAGAGATCTTTGGCACGAGGAACTTTTGTTCAGAGATCTGCCAAAGGTCTCCCCCCCCCCCACTACCCCACTGCTGATCAGTTCTGATCTTCGGGCAACGTGGGGTGATCGAAATGGTGATGAGCGGTG